GAACTAACCTTCTTGGATGTTTAACAGGAATACTTTGAGGCCTATAATAATTTGGTCTGAGGGACGTAAAGGACAGTTTTTGCTCCTTGCCCTCCTAGGTCGACTAGTTCCAGGGGACTATGAGCATCCCTCAATATGTCCTGTAATTGTGGTGGGTCACCTGTCCTCTTGATCAAGGAGGCCAAGGAGATCCCACGAGATGGACTTGAACCAGTGTCCAGTCTACAAAGAGGAGGGTCAATACAGACAAATCATTTCCTCCATGCTTCCAAGCGAAGCCAGCCATGGTCAAACAGGACCTTTGACTTATCTTCACATAGGCAGAACTGGTAAAAGAAAGGAGCCAGGGGCTCCTCCCAAGCCCATGCGACCCCTGAGGAACAGATCCTCAAACGACCTTAAGAGTAAAAATAAATTGGTTTATCTGAGCCAACTGTACAGCCTTAAACGCCCAAAAGGAAAGTATAACCAAAGATTAAAGGGGCCAATATAATTTAAGAGTCCATATGTATAGCTAGAGACTACATAACAAGCAACAGTGCCAGACAAGAGATACCTTCTTTTGAGATGCTGGCCAGGTTGGCCAAAGGGACTCCCAGATAATAACCCAGCATAAACCTGGGAAAATGAACAGCAGACCCCAATTTTAACTAAAGGAATACTGACAACTGACTGCTGCTAGATGAGGAACAGCTGACCTTCCTAAAACAAAGGCCTCTAGATAGGCTGACTAGATTCCCAGATGGACAAGTAGTAGGAAATGGCTGGGGATGCCGACAACACAGCAGACAGTTTCAGGGATATCAGAGTATAAGGGCTCTAGCAGGGGGAAGGAGGCTATGGGAGGGTGCCATCTGGGAAGTGGGTGTACAGTTGAATAAGATGCTTTGGGATGTGCTGTGTGATACACACACACACACACACACACACACACACACAAATCAACAAATTATTAAAAATGTATTATGCCGGGCACGGTGGCACCAGCCTTTAATCGCAGCACACGGGAGGCAGAGGCAGGCGGAGCTCTGTGAGTTCAAGGCCAGCCTGTTCTACATAGTGAATTCCAGGACAGCTGGGGTTACAGGGAGACACTGTCTCAAAAAAACCAAAAAAAAAAAAAAAAAAAGTATTATATTTGAAGCATGGAAATTTATGTCATGTTAATTAGTAGAGGTGATAAACATTACCATTGAAATCTACCCGATGACTTTATAGACATACACAGGCGCCAAGGATCCAAGTGCAACCGATTATGACTAGTAATAATCAGGTACATACAGATTAGAGATGCATGCGCCAACATCTCAGTGTTATTAGTAAAAAACGAGTCTTTCTGCAAGGAACAATATGAAATGGAGATCTTTTTTAAAGGTTAAAAACTCATTCAATTTTATGTCTTACAGGGCTTATACTGAGTTCAATATTGTATAACTGTATTAATTCAACTGTGAACCTAGAAACTTACAGCCACTTGTGAAAGAGATGCATTCTTGCTCTGGAGTGTGTTACTGAATATGTTAAAGCTGTAATGAAATGCTTCTTCTAATCATGTGGTTATTAAAAAAATTTTTTTAAAATTTACTACATGTTAAATAGTAGAGGTGATAAACATTACCAGTGAAATCTACTTGATGACTTTATATCCATACTCAGGTACTAAGGATCCAAGTGTAACCAACTGTGACTAGTAATAATCAGATACATAGAGATTAAAGACACATATGCAAACGTAATTGTTAGTAGCAATAAAAATACAGCATATCTTGAAATGGGCTTCTTTAAAGGATAAAAACTCATTCAATTTTATGTGTTACAGGGTTTATACTGAGTTCAATATTGTATGACTGTGTTAATTCAACTGTGAACCTAAAAATTACAGCCACCTTGAAAGAGATATATCCCTGCTCTGGAATGTGTTACTGAATATGTTAAAGCTGTAATGAAAGGCTTCTTCTAATCATGTGTTTATTAAATTAAAAAAATTTTTAAATGAGTTTTTCCATATGAAACAGTATATTTTAAAATGAAATTGAGATCTTTTTTAAAGGTTAAAACCTCATTCAATTTTATGTCTTATGGGGTTTATACTGAGTTCAATATTATATAACTGTATTAGTTCAACTGTGAACCTAAAAATTGTTACTGAATACATTAATGCTATAATGAAATGCTTCTTCTAATCATGTGGTTATTAAATAAATTTTTTTAATTTAAAAAAAAATTAGGGTTCTAAGGACCCAATATGACCCTCAAAATAAGAAAAAGTCAAAGACTTGACTTATGTCCCAGAGCCAGTGGGGACTGTAATACCCAGAGCACCTCCATTTCATGTAAGTTTAACTGGTCAATCATCTTGTCATAGGACACCCCTAGGAAGGTGGGTTATGCTAAATAGATGGGTGGAACATCTAGTGTGTTAATGGGATGGCGACTTTTTCCTGCCTGTAATCTGGCCTATGGGTGCAGAACTTCCTAGCTACAGCCCTGTAGTCTGTGAGTTGTCCATTTCTGTGAATTCTTCAGGGAAGCGCAATTTCCCTTTTTCTTTTTCATGCGTTTCTTACTAAACATGTTTTCTTTAAGGCTTTGGGCTGCTCCTAGCACCTTGTATTTTTCTCTAAAGCTTCCTTCTCCCAGCCATGTGGCTGCCAGTCAGCCATATGTCTGACCTCACAGGCAGGTTCTAAACCTGCATGGCCTCATGTCTCTGTCTCTGTCTCTCTCTCTCACCATTCACCACCTCAAGGCAGCTGCCAAGATTACTAGCTCGCTTGTCCTGAGGATTTCTTTTTTCTTTAAAATTCTAATAAAATTGTAAAAGCTTAAAAAAAAAGGTGGGGGGGAGAGCAGAAAACAGGGCCTGGAGAGAGGGATCACTGGTTAAAAGCACTGACTGCTCTTGCAGAGGACCCAGGTTCAGTTTACAACACCCACATGGCAGGTAACAACTGTCCATAATTCTAGTTCCAGAAGTTCCAATGCCCTCTCCTAACCTCTGCAGGCATTGCACGACAAGGGTGTACTTACATACAAAACATTCATACATATAAAAATTTTAAAAATATATTTAAGGGCCAGGAAGATGGCTCAGCAGTTAAAAACACTGGCTGTTCTTGCAGAAGGCCTGGGTTTGAAACCTAGCACCCACGTGGTAGCTAACAACTGTCCATAACTTGAGTTCCAAGGGATCCAACACCCTCTTCTGTCCTCCACGGGCACTGCACAGCATGGGTACACTTATATATATGCAAGCAATACATACACACACATAAAATAAAAATAAAACATTAAAAATATTTTAAAACATAATAAACAAAACAACAGCTTATGCCCATAATCCAAATTCTAATGACACTAAAGAAATCACTGAACTTCAAATGGTGATTTCAAGTGAAAATGAGCTGTGATCCTAAGAAAAGTGTATTTAGAGCCAAAATGAAAGAGCCCAGAGAATTCTCCATTAAGTAGGCCTGTTTCTAGTGCCTCTGGAACAGACAGATGTCTAAAATAGAAGATTAATTCTGACACATTCCAAGAGAAACCAGGCATGGTGGCACATACCTATTATTCCAGCACTTGAGAGGCTGAGCAGGATGACTAAGTTTAAGATCAGTCTGAACTATATAAAGAGACCCTATCTCAATTTAAAAAAAAAAAAAAATCCCAAGGTATACATTACAAAATTAGACAAATCTATAAAAATCAATCAATTATAATGATATGCTATATGTGAATCAGAACTGACATACAATTTCTTATCCTATAGACTAGACAAGAAGGAAAGCGTGGTTACTTTTCCGACCTGTCATGCTGTGGAGGAATAGCTCAGGCTGTGGTGCTGTTATGCTACTGGAAAGACAATGCCTCACAGTCTTATACCCTGTTTTTCTTCTTTAGTCCTGGGCTGCCCTATTATTAAGTAGCTCTATTAACTACCTGCTAGGTTCTCTCCTTACTCCTGACCATGACTCTTGAAAGTATATATGTTCTTTTTTATTTCATGGGGGAAATAGAGGCTCAAGTGATCAGGTGGGGACAGTGACAGGATTCAAGGACTGCTTGACATGCTGGATGGGAGGGAGAAGGACAAAAGGAAGGTGCACGCCAGACATCCGAGGGGTTTCCTAGCTGTATTACTTTAGGCAAATTGATTACTTTCCTGAAAACACTGCTTTCTCATTTACAAAATAATGTAAACCTACCTTCACTGTACAGCTCCAAAAATTAAACAAAGTAATGGGACAAAATACTTATCATAAAGTAAAAAAAAAGAAAAGAAATCAATGAGAAATGCCACTGTAACCCTGGTTATTAGTACAGTCATAATATCATTTGGCCTCTCAACTACATATAAAGTTTGTATTTTTCTCACCCAAGCTGTCCCTACTCTTTGCATAAGGACTGAGTGGAAATTTTGAATTTTGTTACTGAATGCATTCTGTTAATTGCTAAGGAAAAAAAAAAAAAAACCGAAATATATTCTGTGAAAACACTACACTTAAAGGACCTGAAGGGCTCTCTCTGTCTGTCTGGGTAATGCCCTGCTCTAAGTAGATACACCCACCGTAGGACACTTTCAGCACACAGGTAGCGCTGGTTAATCACTACAGTAAAAATGGTGGGTAGTAACCAGGGATTCTTTCTATTAACAGTCTTCTTCCACCTGACTCAGATTTGTGTCAGAAAATCAATTTACTATTATAATCAGCATTAAAAATGATAAAACATTAAAGTACATTTTATAGAAAGAATCAAGCTCTGTCCAGTGAAATTTACTTTTGGAATGAGAAGATATATCTGTGCTTTGCCATAAAAACACTTTTATTCCTGGGAGAAGCAGTAAAACAATTCTGCAACAGATGATCTGAATCAAGCCTCACAGAAGGTAGGCATCACTGTGTGCCTGGCCTTCTGACTGAAACGCAGAGGCTCACAAAGAAGTCCTGATCCTCTGCGGGTACATCAGAGACTTCTACTGTTTCTAAAATGTAGCCCCAGCTGGACTGGAACTCCCTGTGTAGACCAGACTGGACTTGATCTCACAGAGATCCACCTGCCTCTGCCTCCCAAGTGCTGGGATTAAAGGCGTGTGCCACCATGCCCGGCTTCCATCAGCAATCTTAAAAGATAGAACAGTATAAAACAAAAGTTATCACTTGATGCTAGGGGGCTTAAGTTTCAAAAAGTTAAAGGGACCAAGGCAGTTGGGATTTCAGAACTGGGGATAGGAATGTGGACAGTCTCTGGGACATATGAAAGAGGACCAGGGAAGCTAGAATACACTAATTACTGGAATAACACACTTTTGTGACATATATATCCTATTTGGTTAGGAATATTCATGTTTATGAAAATATTAATCATCAAAGGCCTTTTTTAAAAGTTAGTATGACACAAAATAAAAAACAAATAATGAACTTATTTGAATGAAAAGCTGAAACCAGTTTAGAAAACTAGCTTATTTGGGTCACGTGATGCAACATTACATATAAAAGGTGCCTACTACTAACATTGTTTTAAAAATCTTCAAAGTTTTTTGTTGGTGCATGAATCGGGGGAAAAAAAGAATTACTTGAAATAAATCAAAGCAGTTCTTTATCTTAATATATTGTGTCCTCAAAACAAAAGTTACAGCTGCTCAAAAATTGAGTGCTTGCAAAGCCATGAATTCTAGAACAAAAATGAGAATGATAAATTCCTTTTCTTGAAAGTAGTGATACAAAAGCATGTATCCAAGAATCCACAGACCCCAAAGGGAAAATTTTTCTTCTTGCAGTTGTTAAAAGTATGATTAAATATTAGCAATTTCATCTAATTTCACTTAAATGCTTATAGTGCTATGTGTGCACAAGCATCAATGTAACCATGCTGCAGGTTAACTGGTTAACTGATGTTTGCCAGGTGGAGACACGCATATCACAAAGCCAGCCAGCCATCCTGGATTCTACCTGTAAGAATAAGCACAGCTCCTGATTTCTGGAAATTTTGGGAGAGAAGGCTTTTCAGATACGAAGTAAGTCTTAAATTTCTAGGAACAACAGATGCTTTATGCATACTTTAATAAGTAATATTTTCCTCTGAAATCATTCTAAAATGAACAGACTGAAAAGAGAAGGTATCTTTGTTTACAAAGGCTACTTTCCAAATGAATATAAAACTCTAGAATATAAAGCTCTAGATTAAGCCTTGAAGTTGGATATACAGACTTCGACTAAAAACTATGTGAGGGAGATTTAACAAAATTAGCCTAGGACAAAGCAGAGGAGCATCAAAACCAATTCTGGTCATTGGAAACAGATGAACCATGTGACTCAAGGAAGCTAAACCTTATGAGAACCAGCCCAGCCTCCACCTCTGCTTCCCCCAGCCCAGCTCCCACCTCACCCTCCTCACAGAGCTCATGCCCTCTTGTGCTTCCCTTGCTCCACTGCATACTGCTGTCTCCCTAATGGACTGAAGCAGAGCAGGACCTCATCTCCCGTTCACCACTGGGTTGTCAGGAACTAGAAAAGAACACAGAGGTGCTCGGTGCTCTACCACACAACCAAATGAATAAATGAATGGCTACCAGCACATGCTATTCATCTCCAAATAGTTAGCAGTCCCCATAAACGACTTTAATCAGATACATCTAACCCAAGGGGCTGGTTTCCATTTTCTATTTCCTGGCATATGAATATAACTTAGACTGCCAGTTTCCCCACGGATGTGTTTGTGTCATTGAAACAGAGGCAACAAGTCACTGAGACAAACTTGCACCCACACCATTCTGTATCTAACTTCATAGACTGAGTTCACTGAACTCCTCTTCGAATACATATTGGCCCAAAGAGTTAGAGGAGCAGTATAGTAAACAGATGGCACAGGCTCAGCAAGGGTTATTATAGACTCTAGAACTCCAGTGGGAAATGACTCTACTCATCACTTAGTATTTTAAGTAAAAAGGCCGGAGTTGGAGGTATATTCAGATGCAAAGCTATTTATTATACAAACAATTCTTGTTCCTATGGAAAAGTAGACATAAAGCTCCATAACATGCTGTAGGTGCCTTCAAGGCCTCAACCAGCACACACCTGTAATCCCTGCACTTGGGGGAGCTAAGGCAGGAGAACTGGGAGTTTGAGGCCAGCATGGGCTACATAAAGAGACCCTGCCTGAAAGAAAATGTTGTTAATGATGATGATGATAAAGGGAAGGAGGGCGGGAGGGACTCTCAACCCCACAGTCCATAGGCTGCCAACTACTTCACTTTGCTATTTTCTCCCATCTCATCTCATCTTCATACAAAATGAGAGCAAAAGCAAATCACTTAAATGACTGTTGTCTCAAGCAGCACTTAACTAACTTTTATACATGGAAAACACAAGCTTAAAAGGAATGCTTAAAAGAAAATTACTTAAAGTCGCACTACTTAAAGGCTAAACGTTTACTTGGGAAGGGGGTCATAGATTAAGTTCAGACAGAAACTTAATTCACAGTATTATTAGTAAGTATTGACTGAGTAAAACTGACTTTTTCAACAAATACTATTTACGCAAGGAAGAGCTTTCATTACCACCATTCACATCAAGGGACTCACAGACCTGGGACTTCTTGAAGCCTTCTAGACTTGGACTCTACTGCATCAGTGTTAACTCTCAACATTTCTACCTAATCAAAGGCTTCATTTCTCACATACTTACCGATGTCATCATCGGTCCTGTCGATTGGGTCCTTCTCCAGGCAGTCCCTAACGATGTCTCTGCTCATCAGAGGGTCTGATGCCCTCTCGATGTCTTCCTCATCATCATCGTCTTCAGAATCAACTGCCGTCTCTGGCAGTCCACTCAAGTCCATGTCACCAGCCTCACTCTCTGTGGCCTTAAATCAGACGTAAAAACAGATTTAAAAATTATTTCAAATGAATCAATCTTTGGGGCACCAGAGAGATAAGAACAAGTCAAGTTCAAAGCAAATTTGTTGTTTATTTTTCTGTGGTTAGATGGGAGTCAGCATTCAACAAATAAGTAGTCATCATGAAAACTGGACATAATGTAAAAAAATTGCTTCAAAAATTGAGTGATTCTATCTCCAATTAAAATTAGAATTAGAATTAATGATTTTTTTTTAATCTCAGAGACTTTGATTTCTTAGCTGAAACATAGGAAAATAAAGAAAAATTCCTTTTCAAAGAGGTTAGCTTAAACTAAAAGTTTAACAGTCTGCTAATTCTGAGCAATCTGGAAGAATTGCTATTGTTAACACCAAGAAGAAACAACTTTCCTCCTATTAGTCTTTATGGAAGAACTGATGATAGCGTGATACATACATCAAACATTACAACTAATTGGATTATTCCAATGGCCACTCAAACTATAAATCAATAAACAGGGTAGGATCCCATATATATGTATGTAAATATGCCTATATGTATGTATATCAAAGTCATATGCTCTTCCATTGTATTTACCATACAGTGAAGTTATCGATCAGATTTCCAGTTACAAAAACACACTAACAACTGAATATTTTCTTAGTTGTCAAAGTCATTCATTTCAAGATGGTCTTTTCTGTGGGCTGATCGTTAGTCTAGCAACTGCCACCCTTCAGGTCAATTTAGACTTTTCCGATTACTGTCTCATATATCCATTAGACTTGTCTTGTTTGATATTATAGCCATAGAACTCACTAACTGCGTATGCACAGTGAGAATGAATTTAAGTAAATATCAACTATAAACGATATTGAATATCATAAGTGATTTCCAGCTGAAAAACTAAACCCAGGAAAATATCTTATTATAAAAACAACTTTTTAAGAAACACATACTACAAAGTTCACCAACTTAAATCATAGATTACATGGTTTTCAAAGATTAATGAAAGCACTGATGTAATAAGCTTGCTCAATCCTTAAAACAAGCAAGAGCCTTTACTTTTTATTCTCTAACTACAAAGGTAAAGAGAGATCATTTTCCCAAGGTCATGCTCTGATGAATTGTGAAAATGAGATTAGAACCCAGGACTTCTGTTCCAGAGCCTTAACCACAACCTAATCTGTCTCTATATTTGATGCATATGAACTTGGCTTACAGAAGGATGCAGTCTTTTCATATAATTTAACTCAGCATTTAAAGAATGAATGGTGGCATTTTCTTATCAACAAAGCTTCACTTTTCTAAAGTTTTGCTTTATTTAATGGAACTTAAGATTTAAGCCTTATATTTTGAAGCAATCAGTAAGTTGATAAACATCTATTAAAATTTTCTCAAGATAGGATCCTACTATGTGGCCCTAGCTGGGGCCACTACTACATACTACATACTATATAAACCAGGCTAGGCTTGAACTCACAGAGATTCACCTGCCTCTGCCTCCCGAGTCCTGGGATTAAAGGTGTGCGCCACAAGGCCCAGCAAGTGTGGCAGTTTTAAGCACAGTTCCTGAACTAAAATAAGCACATTATAAGGAAAATCTATGAGGCAAATAACTGAAAACAGAAAATCTGGTGTCTGAAAAGCTCTCTAAACAATGACCTCAATACTACTGGATCATGGTAAACAGAGTTGCTCCAAGCAGGAGAGCCAGGATCTACCTGTGGCCCAGAAGGGAATTAATTCTGACACACTCAGAAACACAAGACAAGTTTGTATTATCTGTCGTTCCCACAAGGATATTGAAAAGCCAGATGAGCTATTTACACCAAAGATGCCACAGAATACAAAGCAGAGCTGGCGTTACCCCATGCTTACTAGAAGTCTGGGTTTGACAATTTACTGGTGCTTGCTGGGATTCCATTTTCTCCTGTTTCTCCTTAGCACTGGTTATCTACAGCCCATTTTTCATTCCAAACATGTCCTCTGAACTTTAATATTAGCATACCATGAATGGGCACTACTGAGGAAGGAAGACAAATTTTAAAAATCTTTCTTTTAAACAACAATTTATGTAACTAAAGGGTTATTTGCTAATTTTAAAACAGGTAATACATACTAAAAATGCTATTTTAAAAATACTTTTATACTAAATCAAAGAAATCATTACCATTTAGATAAAATATATTTAAGATTTTTGTTGCTGTGGCTAGCTCCCCTCTGCAATACTGGAGAGGGCACCCAGGCCTTGAGCAAGCTAGAAGAGTCTTTACTGAGCCGCACATCCTATCCTTCTTTAGTGTTATATCAAACAGCAACACACTCACATACTCATTGAGTTTCTCTCTCCAAAATGAGGCTTCCACCATCCCTGGGCATAGTTGTCCATTATGACTATGTGTAGTCTATTCTTTTTTATTTACCTTAAAATATTTTATATATTATTTTTATGTGCCTGAACATACCGTCTGCATGTGTGTTAGTGCACCCGTGTTGTGCAATGCCCGAGAAGTCAGAAGAGGAAATTAAATTCCCCTAGAACTGGAGTTATGGATGGCTGTAGCCACCATGAGAATACTAGGAATCAAATCCAGGTCCTCTACAATAGTAGCGGGTGTGCTCTTAACCTCTGAGCCATCTCTCCAGTCCCATGTAGTATATTCTTAAAGAAGTAAAATAACGTGAATTGAACCAGTTATTTAGAGGTTATTTTTATTTAGGATGAACAACAAATTTGAATTTACAATTTTATAGAATTCTCTAAATAATACATTTAAGAAGAACCATGTAAGCAACTTTTCAGAACTCCACTATTTTCAGAATGGTACTGCCACCTGAATGAAACAAAGCTACCAGGCTGAGTTACTATAGTGAGTACAAACTGGTTTCCACTTTTCTGAATTAATAAGCCTCCATTCTGGGGTTCCAAGAGCCACTACCACCAGCCCTTACGCAACTTGAGCAACGTCACTCTGCCTTTAGGAGTGCTGGTTTTGTCAACTCTCACCTGGAGCTGCATCTTCTGGCCATTCGTAGACTGATCAGAAGTCCCATCCTCAAGGGCACATTTTCACTCTAGATCTTATAAACTTCTACCTCTCCCTCATCAGCAATGGGCCCTATACTCAATTTATACTTCCAAAATCACACACACACACACACACACACACACACACACACACAAATAGAAACAGAAGCAAACTTAAATTCTGTTAAATGCCCATTCTTTTGTATGCTTGTGAAACAATTTCTCAGACTAACTGTGCCATTAAATTCTGGCAGAACATTTAATAAAATAATTATAAAAACAAATTGCTTTATCTGGGCCAACTGTATGGCCTTAAACACACAAAAGGAAAGTATAACCAAAGATTAAAGGGGCCAACATAACTTCTTAAGAGTCCATATGTATAGCAAAAGGCTACATAACAAGAAACAATGCCAGACAGGAGATACTTCTTTTGAATTGTTGGCCAGGGTGGCCCAAGAAACTCCCAGACAGTAATATGTAATAACCTTCATATCAGTTCAGCAAATTAGCACTGTATGCATTTATATATGCATATAATCAGAATATTTGCTGTTTTATAATTTCTTCCAAAGATTAAAAACTATTGCAGGTTTTTTGTTGTTGTTTTGTTTTGTTTAAGACTAGTCTCAATTGAGACTACCTTTTCAAGTAACTGGAGGTTGTGTCAAATTGACAGTTAATTCTAACTAGGATGGTGGAGAGATGTAATGTTCGGAGAAAAACAGATTTTTTGGTACTTCAGCTGGTTTTATATTTCATAAGTATGTTAATTCAACTTGCAAGTAGTAAAACAATTTGGAAAAATCTAAAGATAACTTGGCTTTATGTTTGCCCAATGGGGAACATTTACTATCTGTTAATTGTTTACTCTTGTGCACTTAACTGTAAGTCCTAAGCAACAGAATCTTTTAGAAATCATAATTCGGCAGCCTACTTTAATTGGCATCTAAAATCATCTAAAATGATAAAATTGATAATTTACAAAAATTAACAGGAGCTCTAAAAACTGCATGTAAGTTAAATGATAAATATGTTAAAAATAAATAGAAAATTAAGAATTTTAGAGGTTATGTAGAAACTAAAGTTAAACTCTGAGAACAACTCCCTGCCTTTACCTATCTTTCTCTGATTTTGCCTCTTCTTTTTTCCTGAAAAAATTCTTTACCAAAAGAAAAGATTATTGTGGTCTGTTTCAGGGTAAGGCTACAGAGAAAAGAGATTCTGTTATATTACAAATTTCCATTTTGTAAAGACCACTTTCACTTCAGAAGCCCATACCCACACATGATGCATATTATTTTCCCCCAATGGTTCTTTCTCTTAACCTGCATGCTCAAGCCTATATTAAAATATCTTTATTATACTGGCTAAGTGTACAATTCTTTTCAGTGATAAAACCATGAATCCCCCCTTGGCCTGAGATGAGGTCTAGGGAAACTCCTCAGGCTGCTAGGATGACAAGATGGAGCTTGCCTCTGTCCGCTCACCATTAACATCTCTGGAGACCTGTACCAAGAACCGTCTTGAAGCATTATTGGTAAATTTGCCTGTCACTTGGCTGACCTGTTTTACTTACAGCTTGCAAGCTACCTTGGGTTCCTTTGCTTCTGTTTTCTGGCAAGAAAATCACTTAGTGTTAAGTGCGGCTGGAACTGAAGACAGAAATCCACAAATGCATCTATACTCCACTCTGGTCAGACAGAACAATACGTGACTTTTCTGGGAGAGAGTATCGTATCTGCTGATCCCCCAAGATGTCCTAAACCACCCTCTTGCCTCTAGGAGAGCAGCTCCAGACTCAACTGGAGAGCTCGAGATGCCTAGAGGGAAATGCAGCCACTTGTGCATTGGTAATGACCAAATGCTGGGTAAATTCTATATGGGACAGGCCAGTGTTGCCCAGTCCAGGGTAAGGGAGGACAGCACTGCCTGATCTAGGAAGGGAACTATATTCCAGACTAGCACTGAGCAGGAAAA